TAAGAGCAGACAACACTAGCACCGGAGGGGGGGGTCCATCTATTGGTGGGGAGCGTCACCTGCTGGAAACCGGGTCCAGCGTCCCATTACAAGAGGAGAATAGTTTGGAAAATTGTGGAACCTGTGACCGTGTGTGGCTGTGGGAACTGCCAGCATTGATTGCCCTGCAAAACAGGGGATTAACTGGGCAGGCTTATGTAAGGGCCATAGGTGCTTGTCAGAGCAGCCCTTGTGTAGACCTTGGGATACTGCTGTACCCTTTGTATCTCTTCACCCTCCAAAGGAGGGCACCAGATAGGAAATTCGGGACTGATACTGTGAGCCGGCTGCTGCTTTGCTTGGATCTGCAACTGTCATCTGTACTTGTAGTGACCTTCTTGTGGTCGAAACTCCCAGCCATGGTTGCTGGTTCTTGTTCCCGGGCCTGTCTGCTCCAGGCCCAGCTTGCCGACTGTCTTCGCCATCTTCCCGACTGTCCCCTCCGTCTGTATCAATGGACGTTGGCAGGTGTGATGAGCAAGCGAGATCCTCCCCAGGGGGCTCCGGGGAGGGGTTCCTCGCGTGGCCGGGAGGGATGAACGAGGAACGGATAAGACAGGGAACATGGGGGGGCCGGGTGTCAGGTGGGTGGGGAAAGGACAGGGTATCACTTGTCACTCAGGCCAGGATCTCTGTCAGTGATAGGGCGTGGGGGGGGAAGGGGTCCGGGAAATCCGTGGGGGGGTGTAATGCGAACGAGGCCTCGATGTTAGTCCAATCCTTGAAAACCAGCCTATAGTCCCTCATGTCTTCAAGTTCTTTAGCCCATCCTCTTGATCCCCGCACCATACAACTTTTGCAATCCAGCCTTCCCTTTCCCCCCCTACCCAGTTTTTGCAAAATTCCGTTATCTTTTTCCTGACATCCCTTGTTTGTTTAAAAAGGTTCAACTGTTCCTTTGTATCTAACCGCCTGCGTGTGAGGTCCAGGCGTAGTTGCTGCTGGATTTGTTCTATGATTTCCGCGCCTTCTACCCGTACTTTTTTCATGGTCAGGGTGCATCTTTGCCACCATAATGCCCACATCACTGCCCTCCTTCCTACTCTATACATGTTTTCGGTGAAGGGTGTGGCAGTCTCTGTCTGGGGCCAGTGTCCAACCATAATGGCTGGCCATGACCAAGGCCAGGGAATATCCGGCTCCATCTTCCGCCATATACGGTCCCACCATCTCCATATGAAATGCGCGATCGGACACTGCATGAAGATGTGTTCAATGGTTTCTGCCTTCTTGTGGAAGGGGAGGAGGCTCTGGCATCGCTGGCACCATGGGAGCAGCAGACCTCTTTGTTCAAGGTTTGTTTGATCGATCAACCAATCGTTAGTTGGCAGGCAACGATGAGCTATCTGCCATTGTAGCGAGGTGATTTTCATTGGCTTATGCTTTTGTTCCTTGAACCATTGAATTGGTGTCAGGAGAGAGCGGTCAAGATTCAGGTGTTTGGCCCATCTATCGTTAATTATATCCCTCAAGTGGCGTTTGGGTCGAAGCATTTTGTAGGCCGATTTGACCGTTAAGAGGTGTAGGCTAATGTGGCTCGTTCCGGGGGCGCCCCTCCGTCGAGGGGGCTGCCATGCCCATTCTACTGGGTCCAGAGCCAAGTCCTGGATAGGTTTATCTGGCTGGAAGGCCACCCTCTGTCCCTTTTCTTCCAGGACTCTCACTCTGCTGGCCGTTATTTTGTTCTTTCATACAAAGGGTGCCTTCATTGTTTGGAGAGTGTGTAGTTTTGTGATGGTGTAGTGTTCGATCAGGATCATTTGGGGGGAGACCATATGGACCAATCCAATCAGTGTGGGGTCCCTGCGATCGTCACCCAGTCCCCTTCTATTAAAGTGGGGCCTTTCTTGAGGATCCGGTACCATTCCAGCGGGATGGTTTCAATGAGGTTTTCCAAGGACTCCTCGACCCGGTGGCAGTACCGTAAGATGTCCCGCAATTGGTACCCCGTCTTCCATGTTTGTTTGTTGGTGTCCCAGAGGTCTCCTACCCTAAGGATACCCTGTTTGACCCTGTTTTTCCATGGCGGGGCTGAACTTATCCTTACACGGCCCTCTGCGTCTGTTATCCATCTGTTGCCGAAGAGGGGCTGACGGTATACTTCCTCCCACCAGCTAGGTTCGGTCCTGTCTGGGAGCGAGAGACTACGTCAGGTTTGCAGTAGGGATGGCCAAAAGTTGTCTAGTGGCTGGCCCCCTCCTTCTTCTGCTCCCTCCCTCCCATTCGGGAGTTTAGGTGGGATTGTCCAAAAGCGGTCTTTTAACCAAGTGAGTGGGTGGGTTGCGCGGGGGGCTGCATGGGCTATCCGGGCGAGATGTTCCAGGGCCAAGGCACACCATGGGCTCTGGGGGACAAAGATGAGTTTCTTAATCCATTTGATTCGCAGGGCTTGTACCTGCGTGGCCGGGTCTAGAATTCCTAGGCCTCCTCCCGCCTTTGGTTGGATAATGGAGTCCCAGGCCACATGGCTGATGACATTAACTTGGTCCCCATCGCCCCGCCATAGGAAGGTTATAGCCTTTTGCTTTAGAGCCTTCAAGGCTGCTTTGCTTAGGGGCCATAACAAGGACTTATACCATAGTGATGCAAAGACAACATTGTTGAGAACTAAGGCCCGACCAAAGAGTGTCGTCTGTTTATTTTTCCAATTATTTAGTTTGTATTGCGCCGAGGTGCTGATCCATTCGTCATTAATAGGTGGTCTTCCTGCCGTGGTCATGGATACTCCCAAGATTCGTATTGGTGCCTCCATTGGTACCCAGGTTATGCGTGGGGTTTCTGGAGGACGTCCTCCTTGGTAGTGGATCCACCAACCCTGAGTTTTGGATCCCCAATTGACCGACATGTCGGAGACCTTAGTGAATTTTCCATCATATGCTGAATTTCTTTCATGTTGTGGTGTGTGGCTTCAACAATAATTGTAAGGGCATCCGCGAAAAGGGAGCACATCGGGACCGCTTCTTCCGGGATGCGTGTAACTCGCAATTTAGTGATGTTTTTGTTGGCCCGAAGGTTGGCGGTCAGTGCTTCCATGATGACCAGGAACAGGAAGGGGGCAATTGGGTCCCCTTGTCTGACCGATCGCTCTAGGCATAAAGGCGGCGCAAGACTCCCGTTGACCTAGATACATGTGGTGACGTTTCGATGCAGGATTTGTATCCAACGTCTGAAACCTGGCCCAAAGTTCATCTTCTCGAGGCACTTGTCTAGAAACGTCCAGTCCACATGGTCGTAGGCTTTTTCGAAGTCGATAAATATAAGAGCCGCATTCTGACGAGAGTGCTTCGTGAGTTGGAGGATCTCATGTATTACAGTATTAGTAGGATATTCTCCTGAATGTTCCTATTCTGCATGAAGCCGGTTTGATCCGGATGAATGATTTCCTCCATTACCGGGATCATACGATTTGCCAGGGTCTTTGACAACATTTTATAGGCGACTGTAAGCAATGTGATGGGTCGATAGTTCCTGATATCCATTTTATCTTCTTTTTTATACAGGAGAGTTAGAATCCCTTGCCCCACTCGTTCTCCCATCTCCCCTGTGAGCCAGACTTCACTGTAAAAGTCCATAATATTTTGGTTCAGGAATTCCCAGGTGGTTTCCCAAAATTCTTTGGGCGCAAGCCGTCTATCCCGGGGACCTTATCCTCCTTCATTTGTAGAAGGGCGGACCATATCCCCTCCTTGGAGAGCGGGGCTTCTAGTGCTTCCCGTTGTTCAGTCGCCAAAGTCTTATTGAGCGGTTCCAAGAATTCTTGGATTAATCGATTGTGGTATGGAGGATCTGACTTGTCCAGGTGTGAGGAAAAGAGCTCCTTGTAGAAATCGTAAGTTATTTTCGTGCAGCGGGCTGTGGACACGGCTGGGTCAGCATCTGTGACATTTGGTTCATATAGAGCCTCGATCGTGGTTCGTTGGCATCGCATTCTAGCCAAGCCAAAAAAGTGAGAGTTCATTGCTCCTTCAGTGGAGAATCTGGATAGCCCGGCCCTTATCTGGGCACCTTGCCATCTATATTGTGCGTGTTGAGAAAGTTGGTCTTTTAGCTTTTGTATGCGGGTTTGTAAGTCCGTGATTCGCTACTCCTGCCCTAAGCTTGCGAGTTTAACAAATTATGCTCTTGTTCTACACTTACCAAATCCTGCATGACCGTGACTTCCTGGAGATGTCGTTGGGTAGCTAGATATTTGGAATATTCGTTGCACTTCCTGGTCATGAAAAATAGGTCGTTATTAAACCAGTCGATCTGTGAATCGTGTTGGGGACGGTGGTCTTTCCAAAAATCTCAGGCTTGTTGGAGGTATTGCTTGAAGGATTTAGCTTTTAGTAGAGAGGTGTTCAATTTCAAGTTATAGTAACTAGCCCCTCGGTCCGGTCGTTTGCGGAATGTCCATACCGCCATACACATTTTGTGGTCCATACTAGGGAATGGGCTGGATGGGAGTATTGCCGTCAGCGAGAGCCCACCTCCTAATTCTTCTGATGTCAGGATCAAATCAATCTGTGATCTGGACAGCTTGGTGGGGTCCTTGTTTTGGATGCAGCCTCATGCAGGTAAAGGATCTGTCTTTGGGGTGGTTTCGCCTGAATGTGTCAAAGAGCGATAGGGGGGTGCACAAATCCTTCAACATACATTCATCTTCCTCTATGTTGTGTGCAGTGGAATGGGGGGTTTTCCACCTATCTAGCGACCTGTCGGGTGCCGCATTAAAGTCCCCTGCTAGTATTAGGGCGACGTCCGGGGTGGGGATCGTTACGATTTTGTCAAAAAACACTCCTTTTTCACGGGACGTGTTTGGGGCATATACGGATACTATATACACGACTTCTAATTCCAGGGCGCCCAGTATTTTGACCCATCGTCCCTCTTCCTCGTCCTTTTCCCAGTGGAGGACCTCGCATCGTGATTCGGGCGACTTCCCGGACAGGGGGCGAATGCTTGGTAGCTCTGAAAGGGTCAGGCTTGCTTGTGCGCCCTATAGTGCTCTGGAGAATCCATAAGGTGGGTTTTTTGGATGCATACCACGTCTGGCCATGATCTACGCCCAACCCCTTTCATCAAGTCCCATAGTGCTCTAATTTTTTCCGGGTTGCGGGAAGCCAGGTCATTCACGTTAATCGTTCTGATATCTAGATCGGCCTGTTGTAGTATGCGTCGCCATTTTCCATTTTTCCCATATACTGCGTCAACCAGCTCCATTGGATTTGTGGTTTATGTGTGTTTGATTGCCCTAAGTCCCTTGTCATTTGTCGAGTATAGGGGGCCATTCTTGTGCATCCCAATTGGCTCGTTTGTTAAGAATGTTTTTTCTTAGTATTGTGCAGATACATGTGAGCAGCTCGTCTGTTGACCAGACAGTGTTTGGTTTGAGCTTCAGTTGTTGGGTGTCCAGGAGCATATTGTGTGTGAGCCATTGCAGCCCCGCTTCCTTATTTTCTTCAAATCTTACATACAGGTCCTTGTAGGCCATTCTCATCCCCTCCGTCGACACGCTAATGATGGTCATCGCTCCTGGCTCATAGTGCCCAACAATAAACTCATTGACCTCTCGCGTTTTAAGTATACCCTCCCTTTGCATGTGCCACCCAAGGAGTGTCATTCCTCCGTAAGCGGGGGCATATGGGTCCTCGGACTCTGCGGGTGACAAGCCCAGTTCCCATTTCCCAATCGTCCTCCTGATGGGTAGCACTAAAACCTTGTCCCCCGCGGATATGCTCGTCTGATATAGCCCTTTTTCAATTAACTGGCACATTTTGGTTCGTTTCGATGGATTGGATCCCGCCGCTTCTGCTGTTGTTTTCTGTCCTTGTTCAGGGCGGAAATCCTGTGTAGCTTGTTGTGTGCTTGTCGGGAGTGGCCGTTGGGGGGGGGGCGGTCTGTCTTCCTCCTCAACCATGTTGCGTGTTTGTGTGGTGGGAGGTTGAGGGGTATCTGTTGTGGGGGGCTGGAATTTCTTGTGTATGATATTCCATATTCTGTTCAGTGCCTGTTGCCAGTCCATTCCCGGAGCCAGGCCTTGTTCGAGGGCCTGTTTCAAACTAGGGCTTTCGTCCAACAGGGAAAAGAGTTGGACGTAAGCCTCGTCCCAGTAGTTCTTTGTCTGGCCCTCATACAAGGTCTGGAGTTGACCCAACAGCCACTCTGCCAGATTCTTTAGCCTGAGCTCAATGTCCTGCCCCCCTTGCGATCCCCAGGCTTGGGGGGTACTCTCCCTCATTTCCTCGTCCGGGGGGGGGGGAAGTCGGCGGGTCCCAATCCATTGGCTGGGGTCTGAAGGCTTGCCAGAAGGGATCTGCCCCTGCCGAATCTTCTCTTCGCTCGGGTTGTTTCAATGCGGGTACTTGATGAGCCCCTTGGGATGATTTCCCCTCGCACAACTGTGACGCTCCCTCTCCCTTCCCACCCACATTGGTACTCAGAACCCCGCATCGCTGTGACACTCCCTCTCCCTTCCTCTCCACATTGGCACCCACCCCCTGCCCTGCACCTCACTTTCTTTGCCTGGGGCCACCATGCCTTGACTCCTGTCCTCTTTTGTGGGAGCGTCTGCATCTTTTTTGCCTTCTTCCTTGCGTGTCTGATCGTGATGTTCCTGACCTACTGGGTTTTTTAGTTGTGTTGTTATCTATTGGTCCCTTGTTTCCATTTCGATGTCTAGGGACATGAACCGATTGCTTGTGTCAGTGGGCTGTGGTTCCGTTGGTTTGGATGAAGAGACTTTGTTCTTGGGTGCCAGGGTTTGCCACAGCTCCCGTGTGTCTTCTGAGGGGATGAAGTCTTGGGGCTCGGGCTCTTTCCGGGGCTTGGAACGGGGTTCTTTCTGGTGGGGGAGGGGGGGGGAGGGAGACCTTGCTCATGTATGCTTTTACTGACTTTGGAGGGATCTTGTGATCGGGTGGTTTGGTGTTCCGATCTGCTGCCTCCCCTTTTTCCCATTCCCATCCCCTTACTCCTCCCCCTTCCTGAGGTTCATCCACGTACACCCATCCTTCATGCCCTGCGTCTACCGTTCTCCACCACGTGCTCTTAAGTGGATCCCGAAGCAGACGGCCTGTGGATCGGATCCTTTTGGCCGGGTGATGGGGGCAGTCTGAGTCCAAGGATAGGTCACCGTACGCTTGGCATTTAAAACACCAGGGTCGTGTTTTGTGTGCCGTGTGAATCTTGAAATCCCTTCCTCCCACCCGGAAGGGGATGACATCATCGATAGTAAAGACTTGGCCCTTAGGGACGTCCAGAGCTATCATGAGGTAGTCATCCCTTTGGGCCACATGGGGGGGGGGGGGGGTCGATGAAGTCAATGATCTCGTATTTCTGAGCCAGTTCCTGCACAAAGGCACCCTGGATTTCTATAGGTACATGTCGGAACTCCACTCAGTAGTTATCTATCATAAGCTGCTCCCACCTCTCCTCTGGTTTAGGCTGTTTTGGGGGGGACCACGAGAAGATGCGTACCTCCGAACGTCTGCAGGGAATACTATGCCATGAGTCCATAATTCGCTTGTCTGAATCAAACATGCATATGACAGTGAATACTTTCGATGAGATAGGTTGGATTAGAAAGAAGTCTCTGGCCCCCTCATCAGATCCTTTGAGGGTTGCCAGGCGCTTTCTGATCCATCCTACCTTATCGTTCGCGGACTTGTAGGCGGCGTCATCGTAGAAAACCCATGTACTCGCATGGCGGGAGTAAATAGCGTCTCGTTCCTTGATTGTATCGTTTGAAAGGGACTTGACTCTATGTTTTCTCCCGCCTTGACTTATTACTTTTTCCTCAGGACTAGCCAAGAATTTTGCAAGGAAGAAAGCCGAGGCTGTTGTCAGGTTGTC